TGTGTGTGTGTGTGTGTGTGTGTGTGTGTGTGTGTGTGTGTGTGTGTATGTTAGGACCAACTCAGAAGGTCCTTCAGCAGTTGTATCTGTCATTTGGGATTGGTTCTCAATTATAGCTGATGGCAATGATGGACTGAGTTATAGACAAAAAGTCCTAGTTTTCTCTTTACAATCTGAGACAACTTTAACACTCCCTTCTAGGATTAGCTAACATTGCAGCTACAACCACAATGTGGGCAAGGTCAGCCTTTCTCTCTTCCTCATTCTGTTGGTCTTAATATTTTTAACAGTTTTTTTTTCTTGTTTGTTTTGAGACATGGTTGCTGTATGTAGTCTGGAGTAGCCTGAAACTTGTGATGTAGCCCAAGCAGCCCTTAGACTCTTGCTATCCTACCGCAACTTCCTGATTACTGGGAACATGGGTATGTGCTACCACATCTGGTTTTACTTTCATTGTGAGTACAGCCCCCAAGAACATGCTCCTAATAACCATTTTGCATAATGTTCTCTGTTTCACAGTCTTTAGCAGGAAATCAAAACTATCATTCTGTGTGGTTTCTCTCTCTCTCTCTCTCTCTCTCTCTCTGAAGCTAAAGATGGTACAAAAAAATCTAAAAAAGAAAAATGTTTCCTGTTCACTTTTTCTGTCTTCCCAGGTCATGATAGAGGATGTTGGCAGCTAGACAGAACATGGAGATTTCACTGATTTCATTTGACTGCAACAGCCCCCAAAATGAAGCTCACAGTGCTGTCTGTTCTTATCCTGAATCACACCTAAATATGTCCAATTTCATGCATTGTTTCTACATTTCTCCTCACTTAGGGAAGATATCACTCAGCTATCCCCCAAGCCAGTCACTATATTTATTCTCCATATACACAAATGTCTATAGAAAAATCTATTCAAGAGACCCAAATATAGTAAATGGATAAATCTAAAATAGAACAGAATACAGGAAACAGAAAACAACGATTTCTTGTTCTCAAAAAGATATCTTCACTCCCAAGTTTATTTCAGCTACAGCTATGATCTGGAATCAACCTAACTGTATAGAAAAAATGAATGGATAAAGAAAATGTGGTGCATTTACACAGTGGAATGCTATTCAGCTTAAAAGGGTAAAGACTTGCCATGATCAGCCATGATCCTGAATGACAGAAGAGAAGTAAACCTAATGCAGATGCAGCATAATCTCTGTCATATTAAGAATCTGCAAGAGTTCAGCTCATAGAAATTGAGCATGAAATGGTGGTTACCAAAGGATAAGAAGAATGGGGCAAAAGGAGACGTGGTGGTTCTTAAGCAGTCAGATAGTATGATTGGGTTCTGGTGTTCTGGTGCACACCATGGTAAACATGGTGAATATTTACAGATATTTTCTATTTTAAGGCTTCTAGAAGACCTTCTACATTTTTTATAAGAGTGAGATCATATATTTGAGTTGAAACATGTGTACTATTTTACTTGGTTACATAGGTTCGGCAGAGGTAAACACTACATTGTAGCCTATGTTACACCTAGCCATAATTAAACATACAATGATGAACTAACTAGAAATTTTATCAAACTAAAAAACAAACAAACAACAACAAAAAAGGTAATATACTGTTCCTTTGAAGATGCCTACAATACTGAGAGGAATTTCAGAGGGATAAGTACAGATAAACCAAAAGACATCAAAGGAAGGAAAGTTGTGGAGAATGAAAAAAACTAATTTTTAAAGCTCAGTGCTATGGTTGGGTTCTTCTTTCCATGAGCGAACTGAAGAAATGTGGGACTTACTACTAATAAAAGCTACTATTTAGGCTGCAGCTAAGTGGCAAAGTACATACGTGATGCCTGAGTTTGACCCCTAGCACACCAAAAATAGTAAAACATTTTCAAAACTTGGGATTTAAATGTGCCTCATGTGACAAGGTGCAAACAACTTCCTCTTCTCTGAAAAAAGGAATTGAAAAACATCATTTTGAACAGAGAAAATTATGTTGAAAATTGTTTACCACATTGTAATTTTGTGTGGTACAACAGTTTTGCTCATGTTGCAATTTTCTTTACTATAAGCACAAAGAGGATTTAACTAAATAAAATATATTAGTAGACAACTAGAATATTTTTTGATAAACCTTGTTCCTTGTATTTGCATGAGAAGAAAGTGACCAATTATTTTCTTCACAAGATAACAAATTTGCCCTAGAAATGTAATATTTGTCTGGTTTGGTCACGTCTTATTTGTGAAAGGAAAAATTGTGACTAGACTTTAAAAATAGTACAATATAATCAACATAAAAGGAGAATGGTCGCACATTCTAACATTGCAAGACTCCCAGTGCCAGCAGGACTAACTGTACTCAGTTGAAAAAGGCTAGTGGGGAGGACAGAAAGAATTCATGTGTCTTGCAAAAAATAATCTATAATAGACCTTTTTGTAGATATTTCTAAGTAAATTAAACAAAATTCAATTTTATTTGACAAAATAATCTTGTTGGGTATTTACTGAAACTACAAGGGACTTTTCTATTATCTATCTACCTATCTGATAGACTTACTAACTGTATATCCCCATCACTTTATTTTGTAAGGAAAAATGAAACATAGGAGAATGGAGAACAGGCACTCTAGACTTGGAGTTTGGAGGTGAAATGTAAAGTATAGCATATATGTTAATCCAATTGACACTTCAGATACTGCATCTGTAACATATGGCAATTCCTTACAAAGGAAAGAAGGAACTAGAAAGTTTCAACATCTTTTGGTTGCTTGTTGTCAGGTTTTTCTTTCCGTACCTAAAATTTTTGTCTCACTAACACAAAATGTGTGTGTGTGTGTGTGTGTGTGAGAGAGAGAGAGAGAGAGAGAGAGAGAGAGAGACAGAGACACAGAGAGAAAGTATCCTAGGAAGTGAAACCATTATAGTGTCCCACTTAAAGACCAATCCATTTCATCATTAAATTAAATGCATTAAAATAAACTAGAGGTCTTCTCTCTGTTTTCAGTTTAACAGAAAGAATGTGGCTAAGAGGCCTTTTAGACCAATGCTATAGAGAACATGAGGAGACTTGCCTATGTGATAATTAGCTACTACCAATAATTTCATATCAGTGAATACCTTGGTGATGACCACCTTCTGTTGAGATCTCCAAAACCGGACCAACCTCTCACAGAGGTAGAGAAACATGGGACCCACTATCCATTTCCAAGTCTGTAATCACATCAAATACAAAAATGAGATGTGTTAAGGGAATGGTGACAGCTAGTGAAATATTCAGGAGAAAATATTTTACCAGCCCAGGGAAGCTTGCTGAAGTATTTACTACTGATAAGCAATTTTTCATAAGACAGAATATACGAAATTATTAGTAGATAAACTGTTAAGCCAGTAAATCAGCCACAGTAATGTCATATATTCTGTATCTGTAAGTGTGAACTTTCCAAAGAAGAACTTCCTACAAGAATGACATTTCCTCCTTGTGTCACACCTGAAGTTGGACTAAGCCTACAACACAGCAAACATGGCTGTAGAATGAACCTGTCTCATTTCAGAAACATAATTTTTAATTGAACATTGCAGTTTTTTTTTCTCTCAGCCATTGACTCCCAGATTAATCTTTTGCAAGATAACAAATTTTGTACATGACTTCAGTTACTTCAATACGCTGATAAACTCTGGGAGCTCTGCAGTGCTTTAGCTCAGTCTCTGGACAAAATAAGGAAAATGATTCATAAAGCAGTGGGCTCTATATAAACATTGAGGCCCAACACATCAATCCTGTTTGGCTAGTTAGAGTTCTAATATAATATTTAAAGTACCAAAAAATTTAAAAGATAATATCATCTAAAATTTGATTTTCTAGAATGAACTCTGATATAGAAAATAACAGCATGTTTCCCATATGTCCTGGTTACTTTTGTTGTTTTGTTTTATTTTTTTTTCTTGTGAACTTGACACAAGCTAGAGTTATCTTGGAAGAAGAGGTGGTGATGGTGGATCTTAACCCCAAAGAGAAACTTAAAAGTATGTTTTCCAAGTTTATTCTATGATATTGACAAAAGATCAATGCAAAGTTTGTCTCTCAAGAAAAAGTTCTAGCCAATTCACATAGTAGAGAAATATAGCTATAACATCTAATGGACAACACTTGGACCTGTTTCTTGGGCCTAACAGCAATAGCACTATAATAGAAGCAATAAAAATACCTACCATAGGAGGGTTTCCAGAGAACTTTGGTACTGGGCATTCCTTTTTCTGTCCCCATTCTGAGATGTTGTTTGCACAGATATCTAAATTATGCTCTTTCAGACTTTCAGAAGTCTGTCCGCGTACAATTCGTCTGGTGAATTAAAAAAAAAAAAAACAACAGTAATTCCACTATTCCACTTGTTACTTAATAACAAGAAAGTAAGCTGCTTGAGATCCAGGACCTCATATATGTTAGGCAAGCACTCCAAATATGTATATGTATATGTATATGTATATGTATATGTGTATATATATATATATATATATATATATACACACACATATACATATATTCAACCCTGATTAAACATATTGCAAGTACACTTTTTGATGAATGACACCTTCTGAATAAGTCAGGGAAGGAAATGGAAATGTGTGATCTTGAATAGAAAACTGCAGTGGTGCAAATAACATCAACACATAATATTATGGAGTGTGAGTCTTGGGTAACCAACATGTGCCTTTTTAAAGGGAGAATGTGTAGTATCATTTCTATGTGTAGACAAACAGAACCTAGGAAAATGATAACTCTACCAGGTTGATTGCTAACCGAGGGAGTGCCTTTTGCATATTTAAAAAGGGTTTTCTGTCTTTGAAGACACTCCTACAAGCCAAGCGTGTGGCCAGCAAAGTGGAGACTGCCTTTCATCTTTTAGAAAGGTATTGCTATCTACTGTACAACCCACACAACTATATACAGTGGCCTTGGGGATAGCAGAATGCATTATTTGTAGATCCCCAACTTGTCTAGGCCAGGCATGGTGTATACTTGTCATCCCCACATTCTACATGCTAAGGCAGGATATGACTTTGAGGATTCCAAGGCAGCCTAGTCATCTTTCTGAGGAGATTTAACATCCTCACAGATATGAGCAACAACACTGTATTCCTTAAAGTACTTAGAGCCTAGTTAGGAAGTAAGCAAATGTTCGAATGTTGGCTAATTCTGGTGTAGTGGTGATGAAAAAAAACGAAGGCACAAAAATGAAATAAGTTATTTTAAAGAATACAAATGAAACGGTCTACAGAATATATTGCTAGAGAGACATGGAAGTCCATTTGTAAAAGTCCTTTTTGTTTGGGATACCTAAAATTTATATATCATTTAGTATATTCTGGGAATGGTTTAATTCAAGGCCATTATCCATTCTCCACCCTTTTGTGAAACAGTACATAGCCCTGGCTGGCCTGGAACTCACTGTATAGACTAATCCCTTCCCATTCCTAGGTCTTGGTGAAGAGGCTTTCCTTATATGAGTACTTGTTTTGGGTAGGCTTGAGGAAAAGTACTATTTTCCAATTATCTCAGTTAATCTATGGAATAAGCTGGAGAAGCAAGTCTTATTTTTGCAATTTTACATAAGAGTGGAAAACCAAAATAATTTGTTGAAAATAATTCTGTTTTTGAGCCAGCCAGCCTTGACCTCAGAGCTCAATTCTACCCATTCATACTTTAGTGGTCTTGGTAAAGTTAACTTCTTTTTTAAGAAATAATTTATTATTATTATTATTATTATTATTATTATTATTAATTATTATTATTATTATTATTCATTACAATTTATTCACTTTATATCCTGGTTGTAGCACCCTCCCTCAGCAACTCCCAGTCCCACCCTCCCTCCCTTTTCCCCAAAATTAACTTCTTTTGAGCTTCAGTTACTCCATCCATAAAACATGTATAGTTCCTCATTAAAGACTGAATTAAGTGCTCAATGGATATGGAATGTAGAAAACATCAGGTACAAAGCAAGAGTCAGAGGAATAGTAAGTACAAAGGTCTTGATTCCCTAGTTCACCTGGGGAATAAATAATAAAATAAATGTGATTTTCTCCTTGTGCTCTAAATAATGGGACCATAAATCTGCAAAACTGAATTTTAATTCCAGTTCAACTGTTATTTAGCCACTAGCCCCTGAGCAATCACCTGACTAGTGTTAATAGCAACTACTACTTAGGTAGAGAATAAGGCAAATAAGTCCGGGTGTGATCCAAAGAAAGACAGCTATCTGTGCCATTATACAAACATGACGTGGTGGGATTAGTAAAGGAGGGAGGGGAAGAAATGCTTTATCTTTTGATGGATTTTCTGAGATAGCTGCATGTTCTACCTCAAGACACTGTTGCTTTAGGAGATTTTGGAGAGTTCATTCCTATAGGCTTTTCAGTGCTTAGAAAGAGTTTAGCAGGTGTGGAGATCAGGAAGTAGAGTAAGAATGCACACAGAAGTTGGCCACAGTTGCTTTTCCTCATCCTTCCTCTTTTCACTCTCAAGACTTGTTCACCCCTAGGTTACTGGCTTGAGGTTTGCATATTTACTTTCCCCACCTTTATGTTCCTGGAACTCTATACCCATCATGGAACTTCCCTGGGCTTGGCTTTTACATGCAGGTGGTGTGTAAGAGTAGAAAAATAAAACTTAAGAGTAAAGTAGATTTTTCCAAGCATCTGTGTTTCATTATGAGAGTTTTCACCACTGCCTACTCAAGACCACCTGTTCTCTAGGCTACACACCAGCCGGGAATGGCTTGGCCCACATTTTACCATTTTTACTTTTGGGTTCCACATCTACACAATAGAGGGGTTAAAAGAAACATTGATGTCAAGCTTTTAGCACCTGACCTAGAGTTTGGTAGAAGTTAATGACTTTTATCATATTCAGAACTTTGTGTTTTTTTAGCTAGCATTCCTCCACAGTTCCTGAGGTAGATCCTTATGTCCCATGGGAAACCATTAAAGATTATTGGTTTAAATCAAAATCAGCTAGAAAACAGAAAGGTGCTTCAGCTGATTAATCACTGAGTCTTTTACTTTGGGATTTTGCCTAAACTACTTGGAATTCAGCCATGGTAAACAATATGGTGGGCATCCAAGAGCCTGCCAATGCTTTCAAGAAAGTATGGCTAGCAGAAAGTAGACTGCCTTCCTTCTCTTTGGAGTGGAAAGAATAGAGAAGACAATCCACACAGTCATACACAGTGGCCTTAAGACAAACCACAGTCAGTATATTTTATACACCAGGTACATATTTCAAGGTTATTTTAAATAATTGTGTTATGAATTAGATGGTAGAACAAGAAAGCAAAAAAAAAAAATGTGTCTGTTTCTTCTGACTGACCTCTGCTGTTCTCTTACACTCCCTTGGTAGACAGGATGACCACACAAAAGCAAAAAAGTCACTGTACCTCTCATTAGGCAATGCCTCTAGAAAGTGAACCCAAAGTATTTGGCAATGGAGTTGGAAAACTCACTCAGCTCCATGAATGGCAAGGCCGATGAAGAAGATCACAAAGAGATGGTGTGTATACCAGAACACTTCAAAGTAAGACCTCCGAATGGTTTTGGTAGAGGATGTGATAATCAGTATGAGACACAGTGTGATGACAATTCCTGTAATACCAGCCAGCCGAGTCACAGCCACATACAGGCCCCCTTCAGGGTTCTGGAAAATAGAAACATGTAGGCTCATACCTGTAGGAGTATCCATTTTAAAGCGGTTTATGTAAGGCACTTCCTGTCCCTTTGGCTATTCTAATTGTGTCTCTCAGAGAGATATGGTGTTGTAGTTTCCAAATTTAAACTATCTCACATTATTGAGGAGTCATATGAGGAGTCATAGATAAAAAAGAACTGTTACATTCAGATGATTCTAATGGAGTTCAACTATAAAGAACTGACCTAGTAAAAGCTATCTTCAAAGCGTTCTTTATCTGTTTGATTTGGAAAGAGGGCAGTACTTAACTGGCCAAAGAATTCTGATAATATTTGCCATATAAGGCTAGATTCACCATGAGTAGACCCTGAGATGAGAGTTTATGGGCAAGTGATTTAGAAAGAAGGTGTTCCAAGAAAAACTTGTCAGCAAATAATGAATAGGTCAGAGAAAATGAAAAAGTTAGGCAAGGGGAAACTCACAGACAATATGTCACAGGGACAGCTTTAACTTGGCCTTCTAGATGCTCCCTCATGGCTAGTTTCAGAAAACTGAAGATAAGAATGGTGAAACAATTAGGCCAGATCTCTTATCAGCTGGCAAGAGGCTTAGAGAATAGGTGCTCTACAGCAGGCTGTGATGCACAGAGATGCACAGTGTCAGGCCATGCATCAGTCACCCCTGTGAGACTGCCCCCCCTTTTTTGTCTCCAGTCTCAGAGAGTTCTATTGAACAAGGATGAGAGAATTTCATACACTCAGGCATACACAAACCAATCTGATAGTAAGTTATGTCCCAGAGTTTGTACTAACTAAAGGGAAACAAGCTGCATTTCAAAACCTGGACTCTTCAGTTATTTGCCAAAGGCTTCCCAGGGAACAGTAACTGTCCAGATCCTTTCAGACCATATCCTAGGGCAAAGGGATAAAAGCAGCCTCAAGGTGGTTCTTAGAAGTGGACACAGACTTAAGTGATTGAAAATGAAAATACTTTGGAGAAAGGGCAGAGCCAGTAAAAGTGGCCCATGGAAATCTGGACAGAGCGTGAAAATGTCAGTTCAGCTAATATGTTCAAATCATCATCCTTATGTATCATTTGGAAACAAAATGAAGAATGGAAAGAAAAATTATCCATACTATCACAGGGAAAAAAAAAACAAAACAGAATCACCCGAGCTTTTCTCACTTCAGTTTAAATGTAAAATTTTGGGTAAAATTAAAGCTCTGTGTCTTATAGATGTTTTTGTAAACACAGAAAATGTGTTCGAAATTCAGCATGGGAATTTAACTAAGTCCCTGAGTCGTAAAAAATGGCCTAAGCTTCTTTCTGAGTGTAAGAAGCTTTAGGAATTCATGGAATGAAAGCCTATGGATACCCTCATAGCTGCTCACAGAAAGTAATTAAAGAAATCTTCTTAAATCAACCAAGGACCATGCATGGAGAGCACCTAGACCCCCTGCTTAAATGTAGCCCATGGGCAGCTCAGTCTCCATGTGGGTTCCCTAGTAAGGGAGCAGGGGTTGTCTTTGACATGGATTCAGTGAACTTCTCTTTGATCACTTCCCCCTGGTGGGGAGACCTTGCCAGGCCAAGAGGAAGAGGATCCAGGCAATCCTGATGAGATTTGATAGGCTAGGGTCAATTAGTAGGGAAGGAGAACTCCCGCTTTCAGTGGACTAAGGGAGGAGGATAGGGAGTAAGAGGGAGGGAAGTGGGATCAGGAGGAGATGAGGGACAGAACTACAATCAAGATATAAAGTAAAGAAAGTGTAAATAAAATAAATTAAAATTAAAAAAACAAGACTGTACTGAAATCATGCTTGAGTTTAGACAAAACATGGGTTCTTTACCTATTACAGATTTAGCCCTGTTCTGTTCTTTCTGCCTCCCAGAAAAATAGTTACGATAGTAATCTCACAACTGTCCCCAATTTCTGTTCATATCCAATTCAAACAAATATTGGCTTTCTTAAAACCTCCCTCAAACCATCTAATACAAGCTTAAGTTGCCCAGCAAATCTCTCATAACATCCTCTGGAAGTATTTCACTCAGACTTCTTCAAGGTATAAGATCTCTTTCATTGTGGCAAGTAGTAAACCCAACTTTGATTGGACATGAATCCCACACTTTATTTTATTGGTATGCACAGTCATGGGTGAGCATGGCATTACTACAGGATTTGCATACAAACTCTCTCACAAGAGAGCCCAAGGATTCGGGAAGTACCTGAACTGTCTGGTCTCATGGGATCAGAAGTGTAGCAGACATTTTCTTTACACTTATATTCTAAACCATTAGCAAACTTTCATTGTTGTTTTTATGGACACATGATAGTTTTTCACACAGTAAAACAAAAATCCTCTGTTTCAGTAGCACAGCAAACATCTGAATCAGAAAAGGAGTGGCTTACCTTGATTTTTTCTCTAGCAAAATTGAGATACTCTTCATCGTCCCTATCACCAATGTTAGAGAGTGCTACTGAATATGGGTCAGAATCTCCGACTCTGGCATTCACACACCACTCCACATTGAACAGGTGTGCAATGGTGTGAATCGCTAAAGAGGGCAGAGAAGAAAAACAAAGAGGGAGAAAGGTATGCACAAAGTTATTGAAATCTAGATTAATGGCCACAGCCTTGGACTCACAAGAGAAACAAAGGGATGGGGCCCTAGGATGCTTTAAACAAGAACTGGGTCCCAATAGCCAGAGAAGCAAGATTGTTCTAGTTGGTCAGCTTCTTTCTGCCTGTGTGACTGTGGAAAAATCATGCAACCTCTCTGGTACTGGCTCCCTCATTTGTAAATGAAGGTGTTGAACTAACATTTCTGAAGTTCCAACCAGCTTCTAATATTATACTTTTGCCAGATTCACATCCTCTTTTTTTCCCTAATGTGTTTGTGCTCAAATGAGAAAAGCACCTGTGTGATGTCTGCTTGATCATCTCCAGACAGCAGTGGTAAATGTAGTTGGATTAATGCAAACTAATGGTCATCAGCAAGAATCTCTTAAATTAAAAAAGAAATTGCATTTATTATTTAACTATAACTTGCCTAGAGCTTCCTAGGGGCCTGACCTTGTTATAAGTGCTTTACAATTCCTCAGTCCTTATAGTAAACCATTGATCTAAGTATGTTTAATATCAGTTCATCTGAAAGATGAAGAAATTAAGGCATAGATTGCTTTAAAACCTTGCCCAAGATCATCTAACCAAGAAGACGATTAATTGGGAATCAAACCCAAGCTGTGTGACTCACATGTCTGCATTCTTACTGGTATAGTATGTTACTTTCTAACAAGATATTATCATTCATTTCTTTGGACACTTTCATTTACCACAACTCAAGGTCCTGCAAAATCTGGTAGAAGAAGAGGAACCCAGTTAAACACCTCTAAACTAAGCTTATTTTCCTCAGGTAAGATATATAATCCCACAGGCAGAGTAGAAGCCTTTTTTGTTCATTATTCTGTGTGTCTATTTTCTGGCAAAAAAAATTATTTAAGTGAATTCATGGAGATTGTGTAACAATGCTAGGCATATTCTTTGCTGTAACAATACCCCCATCACTTTAGTCATAATAATATGTAATACAATACATAAAAATACACATTGTATGCATATATGATGATATAATAGTAATAATCACTAAGGTATGCTGGTGACAATGGCTTTCGTAAAATATTTTCAATTTACAGCTCATATTTTTATAGGTTTACTGCAAAAATCCACAAAGACTACATTTGTAGCAAAGCAATTTGGTAGAATGAATACAAAATTTTGTGTGTTCACTAGCAAACATTTTTTATACTAAAATAATAGGAAATGGTGAGATATGAGGACATACTGTATGGCATATTTTAATTTTATTTATATAGAATGACTCTATGGTTTAAGAAAACATAGTTATAAATTCTGACCTCTGGAAATAAAGTGTGAATGCTATTGAACTGGCCTCATCTGACCATAACATAACGAACCTGCATACATGTATTCATGAACATAGGGGATCCTTTGTTACAGTTACTCTCTGCCATTTCAAATGCTTTCCAAAACTTACCAGTGTGAAGTGCTATCATCCATGCTACCATTTTATGGAAAGTGAGGTTCCTATCCAGTTGTCTTCGAATTCTTGTTGAGCAACACTTTGGATGAAGAGAGAGAAAAAAAATGGTAGAAATTGTTAATGTGAAACCTTTCTATGTCCCAGACACTTTATATGTATCCTCTCATGTAATTTTCAAAACTGCTCTACAAAAATATATTACCATCCATTTGGTTGATGAGAAAACAGATAGAGGTAGGCATCTCTCCCAGTTCAAATAGCCAGCTTAAGTAATATTTTCTGTTCTCATACTAGTGACAGGAATCTCTGTCTCAAATACATTTTTCATTGAATTTTGACAAAATACATTTGTTGCTTTTATTAATTTATTTAATAACAATTGATCTAAAATTTCATAAAGTGTTGGACTGTTGTCAAGTTCCTAGGAGTCTGGTGGGTACAAAGTTGAGTGAACAATTCTAGAACAAGTGAACAAGGTCTTCAATACAGTTGTTTATATATACTTTAGGAGGACAGAAATGGGTTCATTCACTCATTTACATCAGAGACATTACAGGCAAGATCATTGTCATATAATAGTAATAATAATAATAAGGATGATAATAACTGTTACTGAGAGCTTGTGAAAGGAGCTGCTTCAAGCATTTTACATGTGTTGGCAACTTAATTCTTTTTTCTTTTTTTATATAATTTATTCACTTTACATCTTGATTGTAACACCCTCCCTCATCTTCTCCAGGTCCCACCCTCCCACTTCCCCTAATTCCCCTCCCATAGTCCTCAGAAAGGGGTAGCCCTCCTCCCCTAGGCAACTTAATTCTTATGTTGGTTCTATTAAGGAGAAGTCATTATGATTGTTACTTAACAGCTGATCAAACAGGGTGATTATCTTGCTTTATGTGATATAGCCAGTGAGTGGCAAGGATCAGATTTAAGTCCAGACCATCTGAGAATAGTTTGGATCACTATTGCAATATGATACCTTGACATTCAAAATAGAAAGTGTGACTCTAGTGCATTTGGCTCTCCTGCATATGTTAGAGTGTATGGATTTGAACCTGGAGTTGTTAGTGATCAAAGCAGCAAAAACAAAACCTTGTTCATGGTTGAAGTTGAATTTTAAACTCATAAAAACTGGCCTTTTGCTTGTTCTAGCTGCATTGCTCCACAATTTAAATGTACTGCCACAGAAAGTCAAAGCATTTTAAAGAGGACAGTGAACTTCTAAAACAATCTTGGATATTGTCAATATGTTGCTCTAAATAGTGTACTCAATTTAAATAAGGAGGTTACTTATTTTTTAAAAAATTCTGATTTTGTAGAAAAATATGATTGTATGGAAAAGTGTACCTGCTCCATTGTTTCTCAGTTCACCACACCTAAAAGGAGGGAAGGCTACACAAAAGATGACACTTGGAAATGCAAAAATACTAGAAAAGAAAACTATAAGGATTCCAGATAAATGAGAAAAGCCTTTTCAAGTGCCTTGTGTGACACAGGTCATTTACCCATCACTTAATGCCATAATGCTGTCTCTGGTATAGATTTAAAAAAAATAAAATTTTACTTTAGTTGGGACTTCAGTCTATTATTTGTCTCTGGAAAGTCCATGTTCCTTTCTATCAAATCAGATGCAAAACCGCCATCATTATTATTTTAAGTGCCTCAAAATCAGACTCAAGAATGCACATTTTTAGATTCATAGTAGAAAATGGTTATAGAAAGTGAGGGTAGGATAACAAATACTAGAAGGGAAAGAAATCAATAAAGGGCATATTATCATTCAGCTATCACTGTCTCCTAACAGTGGGATTATTTAGACCACAGAATTCCTTTATAGTTTTAAAGAAATTGCCTCCTGTGTTTTATTTTTCTTCTTTTTTTTCTTTATTAATTACACTTTATTCACTTTGTATACCCCCTGTGGTTCCCTCCCTCCTCCCGTCCCAATCCTTCCCTTCCTCCACCCTCTGCATGCATGCCCCTCCCCAGGTCCACTGATAGGGGAGGTCTTCTTTTCCTTCCTTCTGATCCTAGTCAATTAGGTCTCATCAAGAGTGGCTGCACTGTCTTCTTCTGTGGCCTGGTAAGGCTCCTCATCCCTCAGGGGGAGGTGATCAAAGAGCATGCCAATCAGTTAATGTCAGAGACAGTCCCTGTTCCTATTACTATGTAACCCACTTGGACACTGAACTGCCATGGGCTACATCTGTGCAGGGGTCTTAGGTTATCTCTGTGCATGGTACTTGGTTGGAGTATCATCTCAGGAAAGACCCCTGTGCTCAGATCTTCTGGTTCTGTTGCTCTCCTTGTGGAGTTCCTGTCCTCTCCAGATCTTACTGTTTCCCACTTCTTTCCTAAGATTCCCTGCACTCTGCCCAAAGGTTGCCCATAGTCTCAGCAACTGCATTGATAGTCTGCGCCTCCTGTGTTTTAACTGCCATGTTCCACCAGATTTTCAAAGCCCATCCGATAGGCAGAAATCTGAAGTGACTTGTAACAACCTTATTCAATCTTCTCCCCTTGACTTTGGATAGGACCTGTGAATATGAAATGTGATTTTGTTTGTACTATAGGAGAAAGTGGATTCTGCAGATGTAAAATCCAAAATTGAGTTAAAGAAAGAGTTTTCTTTTTTTTTGGTTTCCCCCCCCCCCATCGCCACCCCAGGGAGATCTGACACTATCACATAAACTCTTGAATTCTAGAAGTCCCAAGTGGAGGAAGTAAGAGATTTGAAATACAAAAAGGAATTAAGGTACTGCTGCTGTCTGGAAGATGGAAGCAGGTGTTTTGGCAGGGAGGCGATGGGGCCTGTAGGATCAGAAAGTAGCCATGGGATGACTGGTAGCACGGAAACAGGAACCACACACCTGCAACTGTAATGAAAAGAATTTTGCAAAGAAGGGGAACCGTAAGAGGTTTTGTTTGTTTTTGTTTTTCATTTTGTTGTACAGAGCTGAGGGTTGGAACCCAGGGCCTTGTGCATGCTATAAATATACTCTATCTTCTGAGCTTAAACTTTCAGAACGCTATTTTAATCCAGTTGCTAGCTGGATTCATTCCTCTCAGCTTGTCACACGTTTTTATCTCATGCTCACGGAATACCAAGTAGAGAAGTCAACTACAAGGTGCTGGACCTCGACTTTACACAACTTTTAGCTTGCAAATGAGGGTTGTTCTAAACCAATACATTTGTGGCAATTTGTTGCACAGCAGGAGATAATTATTAGCATCCTTCCTGCAGTAGTGAACTGTATTGGACTCATAAGAATCCTGGGGTGAGCCATGAGTGGTGTCACACTGCTGAAAATCCCAGCTCTCAAGGATGTAGAGGCAGGTGTATCTCCGTGAGTTCAAGGTCACTCTGCTCTACAAAGCAAGTCCAGGACCACTATGGCTACACAGAGAAACCATGTCTCAAAAAAACAAAACAAGCAAACAAACATGTGATAGGAATTAGTATAGTTGAAAGCAGTAATGAATTATGTTTGAAACTAAGTTTTGCCTTCACATGTAGCTAAGGTGAATCACAAACCTACTACTTAACTGCAGGACAGTTTTCTGACCTGTCTAATCATGAAAATTCTTTTCTAGGAAGCATGTATTCCATGAGAGATATTTTATTGGAATCTGAAGTTATTTTGTATCATTGTGTAACTAAGTTCTCAACTAATATAGCCTGGCTTTTCAGCTAGAGGAGAAGCATTCTGTACAAAGATGAACATGCTATGTACTTTCAATTTTTTTCTTTAATAATCACTTGATCACACAGACAAATCACATTTTCACTGCCTTGAAAAGAAAATCATTAAGCCTATATGCATTTGCCACTGCTTATTTTCTGTCTTCTTGAAGGAGGTGTTGAGAAGGAAATTCACTAGCTCCTGCATCATAACAAAGTTGATGAGAAACAGTATGACTTTATTAGGTTCACTGTCATCTCCATAATCTCATCTTTATAACTATCATTAGCATCAATAATATTTGAAAAATAATTGATGTTCATTTGCCTTACCAAACTTTGACAGAAACGCTTAGAAAAAAGATAAATGCAGTGTCAGAACAATGGAGAGATATGATTAGGCAACACATTGTCTATTCAGATATAACCATTATACCTTAATATCTCATTAAGGCAGAGTACATTTTATTCAAAGAGAAAACTGATGAGTTGGTGCAATAGGTTCGACTTTGGCAGCAATCCTTCATTTTTCCTAACTGCTGTTTTCTGTGTGGTCAGGAATGAATGGTAAACAAACTTAAGAGCAGCCACAAGTCATGCTGATATTAAGCTTTCAAGAACGTGACCTCCTCACCACTTCCTGAAAACAGGGAATGATGATCAGTTGATGAAGTTTGAAGGCTTTACTGTCTTTTATTGTCTGGGCCCTTTCGTTACCCTCTACCCTACAGGTAACATTTATGTACTTCTACTCACCTCTGAATTCTTGCCATCCATCTCCCAAATAGCCAAGCTCTCATCATGCTTTATAGCTTCCTCAAAGGACTACCTCTTTGTTTCTGGCCATTGACTCATAAAAGGAAGTTCCTTTGTTGCTGTCACAAAGATCCTTGTCCAATTTCAATAAGCTATCATTATAGTGCAAGGGCAGTTGTTGGGACATCTTGGCAAATTTCTATGCTGTATTGAAACTTAATTTCATAATAATGAAATGTGGAACTAAGATGAAGTGCATGTTTAATAGGACAAATGGGGAGCTTTTGTAGCTCCATTTTATGCATACTTGGTCTTATTGTGTTTGCATTCTATATTTATAAACATGGTAGGTAAAACGTCAAGAGCTAGCCTTACATCTGCCTACAGATCTCAGGCAAAGAATAAGTCATGCTTGCACATGACAGCAGTAAACATGTGATAAATATGAAGACTATCACTTTGTGAGGCACTCCTTATAATTTTGAAGTCCCATGTTCATTCTATATGTCTTCCACATGACCTTAAGCTCCTTAAGCTCCTTAAGCTTACTCACTCTGTGTCTCCAGTTATTACTATATAGAAAGACATCTGCAAGAAGAAAGACTCAATAATTGACAAACTTAATAAGTATATTTAAATTTACTAAAAGTATGTTCATTCACTTTTCTTTCTTTCTTTCTTTCTTTCTTTCTTTCTTTTTCTTTTTTTTTTCAATACTAGGGATGGAATTTGAGGCCTTTCACACTTGGCATGTTCTTCACCACTGAGCTACATCCTACCTAAGAGGGCATATTTATGTTTAAATTTGCATTGTGTAGCCTCCTTCCCTCCTTAATTTTTCCTGAGATAGAAAGTATAAGGCCTCTAGGAAGCTACATGGTTAGAGGCAGAACCATGAAGAGGCTCTCTGACTCAGAGACTGTATAAGACAAGAGATCTTGCCTTTTAACCTTCCTGTTTGATTCTGATCTAAAGATAAAGACTGTCACAAGTTAGAAATTTGTCTCTACACATGCAGGTGAAGTTATTAAAATTTCACTCAGGGACTTCTGTATGCTCAGCCCTATCCTTTTCCCATCTCCCTCAACAAAGTTAGTTGAGAGCATTTACCCTATAATTTTGGAGGGTGTTAAGATTACACAGCCAGAGGGCCTTTTTCCCTCTGGGTAAAAGAAGGTTTCAAAAACAAAGTCTAGATGATTTTGACCTCCAAAACTGAACAGAAATTCTATGACTGTTTAGTTAACATACTATTCCATTAACAAGTTCTTGACATTATTATATCTTTATCATTTCTACACTAGGTTATTTAGCAGGTTCAAATACTTATATTAAACAGAACATGGGGACAGTTCAAAATGTTTAGTTGACACATACAAAAATGAATAGATTTTGGGAACACAATTACCTGACTATGGATCCCAATACTCCTGTTTAATTGTGTTCCCACAACTTGATATGAGTTCTGTGGAGTTTCAGTGATCTGTGGCAGTTACTATTTCCAACATTAGTCACAGCATATCCACTCATTTAAATCCCAATCAGAAAAGTAGTTCACATTTCATATTGCCAATCTCACAAAGAAGGGCATACCATACCTGTAGTAGATCATTGCTTTTGAGGGAGGGGAGATGGGAAGCAGAACAGGTGGTATGAAAGTATGAGGCACAATTCGATGGGAGGAAGAATGTAAATGTGGCTGGACAAGAGAGAGCTGGGTTGAAGAGGTGGTGGAGAGGCTGCTCAACCAGAACAAAGTAGGTATAAAAATGCTCTAAGGGGAACCATTACTTTGTGTGCTAATTTAAACAAATGAGTGGGGGGGGGGGATTGTTCTTTGGTGTGAAGATCTTTCTGGTTACAGAGCTGGGTTTTTCTCCAATTTACCATTGCTATTAAAAATTCTCCTAACAGTCTTCACCCATGGGCAACAAGATGCCCCACAGCTGACATTTCATATGTCTGCTCCTGAGCATTCAAGACAATGCAACTTCAGGTTATGGGGTAACAGGGATTTCTTAACTGACCATCTTGGTGAAAACACTGCCTGTTTCTCAGGCTTCACTTCCTCTAAATAAAAAGTATTTTGATGGGGACAGGGAAAAATTTTTCAGTACCCAAATCATGGCTCCATAAAAAAAAAAGTTATTGCACAACTGTTTCATTTAGTAAATCTTCATCTGGCTCCTGTATTATTTGAAAGATGGGTGGTTTGGCGGTCAGCCTTTCAATCCAGTGAGATTTCAACTTGGCGTATTCTTCCATTCAGGAGATGATTTTGAAAGCTTTGTGATTAATGACTAACACCAACTACTATTGTTAGGTTTTGCCCTGGCTTTCCCAGTTTGCAAGGCAAAAATGTGACACATCAAATTAATGACCCAATAAAGGAGCTTTTATCACAGTATTTTTCCAGAGATAAAGACCGTGATTCTTTCCAGTGAATATCAAAGGATTTGTCAACTTTCTTCCTTTATTTTTGTTGGTTTAACCTGTTTTGCTGCTGGGCAGAGTGATTCTAACATGGATTTACAGTGCTGAAGGTGGGCTGGGGCCTCCTGAATATTGTACTACTTCCAGAGTCTTCAGGTAAATTAGAATCCTGAGAGTGGAGTTTAGGGACTATGTTTAAGACATGTGCTAAATAATGTTAGCAGCAAAAAGATAACACAGAATCTTATAGGTTACAAGTACTCTTTCTACATTAAAGTGGTGATGTGAGGGCAAAGGGGGCTCTAGGCACGTAGAAAGCTCTGAAACTTCCAATACCATGGAACTAACAAGTGTTTTCCTTGCTTTTTTTGTTTTGTTTTTAACAGGATCTTACTATGTACCTGAGGCTGACCTAGAACTCACTATGTAACCTGGAATGGCCCCAAACTTAAGATACACTTGTCTCAAGCTCCTCATTGTTGGTATTATAGGCATGTGCCACCACAGGAGTAAACTATTCCTAATCATATTTTCTTATAGTATGTTGTTTTCTGCATTGGTTAAATTTGCTTTAGATGTTATACAGAAAATATGTTTTCTCAATTAATTTTAAAAACATTCTTGAATGCTTGAGTTCCTAAATGTCGTATGTTTAGCCCATATACTCCTACACATGTATATTTACTTCATGCCTGTATTTTTTATTTCATTTTTTAGATATACAGTGTTCTGCTTGCACTCTAGCGAAGGGCACCAGATCCCATTATAGATGGTAAGGAGCAACCGTGTGGATGCTGGGAATGGAACTCAGGACCTCTGGAAGTAGTAGTCAGTGTTCTTAACCTCTGAGACATCTCTCCAGCGTATATATTTACTTCATAACTATTGTCTATGTGTAGTTTGTTTAGCTGCTTTTTAAAGCTTTCAGGTTAAATGGTTGTTCCAGGAACCTTTACCCTCAAACAGTATAATACATATGTATATATGTATGTGTGTATGTATGTATGTATGTGTATGTATGTATATGTGTATGTATCTATGTCTGTATATGTATAAGTAGATGTAGATGCAGATACATATGATGTGAATCACAGCATGGGACCTGGTGTAGCTCATGAATATTCTACACAAGATGAGCGTCAAAAAGCATTACTTGTTTTTTCCTTAGAAAAACGATGGTTTAGAAAATTTGATTCCTTCAACAGAATTTTTGCTCTTACCGCGCTGGAACCCCTGAGGAAGGAGAGCAGATTTCGACACACTGGCAGCAGGATCAGCATGCAGTTGAAATTCAGGCAGGCTGCAGGTGCCCTGGCCAGAGCCAGAGCTGACTAGAAGAGAGAAGAGAGGGAGTAGAGAGACTCTGGTGGGGTAAATGCCCATAATTCTCTTCCCTGGGACCCCAAAAGCTCCTCCAAGGTATCAGAAAAGGAATTTCCATCATGGTAGAAAATTTTTGTTTAAAATCTACTTGTATTTTCTTTTTTGAAACATGAAACTTCCTTTTTACCCCAGCTTAACATTTAGAAGTTTCAAACCTGGTTCTTGTATATCCACATCCCATATGACACCTTTTTACATTTTGCTATGCATGCTTTACCACGTATCTGTCTTTCCACCCTTTTCTCCATTGCAGAATATCAGATGACATCCTATATTTCTGTTGCTCTCTGTCTTAGTCCCTTGAGACAAGGGACTTGAAGCAGGAGTAAACTGTCTTTTGTATAGTCTAGTGTTCAGCAAGCTCTGGTGATCCTACTGTCTCAATTACTCCCTTCGTCTTCTAGTAGTGGGGTTTAGGTGCATGTGGTCACACTTGGCTTTTTACATGAGAGCTGGGGAACTAAACTCGTGTCTCCATGCTTGTGCAACAAGAACTTCTATCCTTTGAGTCTCCCCCCTGCCTCTTATATATATGATACATTTTAAAGTAAGTTACATGCATCACTTTCCTTCCTCCTAAATCTTTAAGCATGCATACCATTAACATGAGGTGAGTATCAAAACTAGGTCTTTGATTTTAAACAAAGTTCCCTTAGCATGTAGACCTTAACTGTAACTTAAGTTGGTATGGCATAATACTTGGGCAAAATTAGTTTAGCAATATCTAAAGATGTTGATTATTTACAGAGAAAACAGATCACTGTAAATATATTAGAGACAATTTTAATAGTGTTATATGATTATTTGATATTTATGCATATGGTTATAATATTATTAATGTAATATAATATTATTAATGTTAATAATATTTTCAAAATTATATAACAAATGGTGTGCTCTGGGAGTGGCTGCAGTTGTAATTATTTTCATTTGTGATGAAGGGACGTGACAGTTCAAGCAAGAAACAGATATTACTTAATAATGGAAGGAAATTCAAGGACCTCCACATTGCTAGACTACAGAAATGATGTGGTATATGAACAAGTTCCTCAAAGGCTACAGATGCAGCTTAATGTTGATTTTCTCAAGATAATTTCACATGTCATTAGGAGGAAGAATTCTCCATGCCAAAAAAAAAAAAAAAAAAAAACCTTAGGAAAAAAATACAAAAAATTTCAATTGTCACACCATTGTCATCCCATATGGATAGCTTCCAATAGGCTTTCCATTCTAGAGATTCTATGTTAAGCTCAGCACATATTGGTGGAGAGTGATGTGGATAGGATGCTTTGCCATACTTCAGGTTGTTACACTGGCAGGCCTTAAGAGACTCTTGCTAAGGAATTTACAATTGGGGGAGTAAAGCTGGTGGTGTTATCTTAGTTGGTCAGAATATTTATTTAAAATGTTAAAAGGAATAAATATGAGTACATCTGACTAGAAGTATAAGCTGGCCAATATTGCATGAGATAGAAGGTATACTCACCCCGAGGAGTTTTCGAGTATAATTGTACTTAGGTCCATCATCATAAACCTTGTAGTACGTCACAAAGAGGAAGACGTTCAACCCCAACCACACCAGCTGCACAAATGGAAAAAGTCGTATGAGGTTTATATCTCCCAATAGGTAGATTCTGTATGAGACCAGAGTCAAATGAAGGGCAGGACTTCCTCAAGTTCAGACTTTGACAAAGGTCTGCATGCAGCCAGCTTTGTATCAACTCTTTCCTAGTCCACTGCAAATGCACTTTTCAGTAATTGACTTTGTCTTCCTTCATTGTTTTGTATGATTGCTTCACTACCTGGTCAATGCACTAAATTAGTTTCAGTCTGTCTCATCTCTTTCCTCTTTCCTTGTCTTTTCATTTAAACCCTAGACAGACAGGTAACAGGGGTTGATAAGTAAAATAAGAGCAGGTGGAAATAAGGTATTGTTGTTGTCTCTCAACCTGTAGGAAATTGAACTCTAATTGAACTCTAATCTCACAGATGCCAGTCACCTGCCTGCAGCACACATAGCTTACCATTCTATTTGATATTTTTTTCTTAATTTTTGAAGGAGGACTATTGAGCATGGGTAAGGGGGTAAAGGTCATAGAATTTAAAAACAAAGTAAACATTCTAGATTTTAAATTCACATTTGATCCCACCAACAACTTTATCACTAAATGATACTGCTCAATCTTCTACCTTCATCTCCATAGTGGTTTTGCTTAAATATTAAATTATTAGTTACCATTAATATTAGCTATTAAGTACCCATGGATGTTTCATTACAGAGAAGGTGCTACAGAAAAGTCATTTCTTATCTTGCCATTCCCCTAACTCTGGATTTCTAAACCATGTCTTTACTTTTATATATGTTCATGTATAATTTAAAAAATTACTTCCTGGGGAAACTGTGATTAGAATTAAAGAGATTTCAACCTATTTCTTAGGTGAGTAATCTTCTCTTAAAGTAGCAGGAAGTACTCAAGACTACACCTTCAAATCCTCATGCGTCTATATTGCATTAGGATGTTGGTTTGGCATGAAGTATGTTTCAATAAAATATTTGTTGTTTTAACTTTAACTGTGCTAATAATTTATTAATATCCCCAGAACTCAAAGCCTCCATGCATTATATTGTAAATACTTACAAAACTTCCATCCATACGTGATTTTTAATATCATGCTCCATAGCTGCTTTCAAGAGTATTTAGATATCACATTTCTTTCTATTCAATTCATCCATAACTGCTTTGCTAAGAATACTAACTTATGGGTTCAGAAAAGAAACCAACGTGTGTTTGAAAATCAGCCAATCTGCTGAATCTGAGAAGGGGTCAAGGTCCTCTCTGTGCATGGACCTTGGTTGGTGCCTTGGTCTCTATAGGTTCTGTGGGTTCTGATTTTTTTAGCTTTGTTGGTCTCCTTGTGGGGCTCCAGTCCCCTCCATGTTTGCCCCACCTTTTCTTCCATAAGACTCCCTGCGCTCTGCCCAAAGTTTGGCTGTGAGTCTCACCTGTTGGGTGAAGCCTTTCAGAAGACCTTCTATAGTAGGCTCCCATCCTGTTCCCTCTTATCTGCCATCTCTGGTGTCTATCCTGTTTGTCATTCTGAATGAGATTTAAGCATCCTCCCTAGGGTCCTCCTTAGTGTATAGATTTTACACTTAGTGTATATTCTGTAGATTTTAGTATAGCTATTCTATATCATACAACTAATATCCACTTATAAATGAGCATATACTATGCCTGTCTTTCTGTTTCTTGGTTACCTCACTCAGGATGATATTTTCTAGTTCCATCCATTTGCCTGCAAATTTCATGATTTCCTTGTTTTTAATAGCTGAGTAGTATTTCATTGGGGAGCAGAGGCTGCCTCTATCATGAACTCAATTGCCTGCTCTTTCATCACTTGCCCCTGGCAATGTGGTCTTGCCAGGCCACAGAGGAAGAGGATCCAGACAGTCCTGATGACACTTGATAAGCTATGGGCAGATGGCAGAGGAGGAGAACTCCCCCTTTCAGTGTACTAGGGGAACGGGATAAGGGGAAGAAGGAAGGGAGGGTGGGACTGGGAGGAGTTAAAAGAGGGGGCTTCAATCAAGACATATAATGAGTAAATTGTGAAAAAAATGAAAATTAAAAAAAGAAAATCAGCTACAACCTTACTTCCAAAGTTGTTTCTCATGATAGAGTAATAGACATATATATATTTGTGTATTATATACATACTTTATATGTACATACATACATAAAATATACTTTCTGCATTTATATGAGTCCAGATAATTTAGTTCAATTCTTTCATCTCTATTTGTTGTAAAATTCACAAGCAACTACAGTTCAAACCTCATATTAAAAATGTACTTGTTTTAAAAAGAAATTTGAGAACTCTGATTTTTGGTGTTATGACTAAAATAAAGTCAACTTTCCTATCCAAGAAATCTGTAAGTCAGAAAGCAGTACAGTTTTAATTGACCGTTTTAAGTAGTTAACATAAACATTGGAGAAGTTTGCCCCTGCGTAATTAAGAAAAACTTTCTCAGAATTAGAGATCATTAGTATGAAGTATATTTCATGCTCTCTGTTAAATGCTGGCTAACGTCATAACATTAGGAACTCAGAAACTAGGAGAAATGAGAGCCACTGGCTCATATTTTTAATTAAGAAGCTTGGAATGGAAGAACTAACTCAATATACTTACAAATAGATGTTTCTTCACAGAATAAGTAAATTTCTTTAGCAAACAATATTAATAAAAGCTGTCACTCTATTTTAGCTTCCAAGAGAACCCCAACATGTCAAAGAACTTATAATTTACCTGGTTTTGATACTTACAATGACAAAGATGGAGAGTCCCTCATTCACAGCCCAGTTCCCCATGGTAGCAAAGTGTGCTGTGTCTGCCTTTCTTCTCTACCGTGCTTCTTCTTTGCATGAGGAAATGAAAACGGCGACCTTGGGCAATATGTTTCCTTTTCTATTATCTGAAATTAGCTAATCATTGGTCAACTGAAAGCCTGTTTCCATAACAAATTTAAATCTTCAAACCCACACAAAAACTACAGAAAGAGAGAAGATCTCATGATTCAACTACAAGTAAATACATTGGAAAATGAAATTAATAACTACAACTGACAGACTGTCAGATTTTAAAATTTGTTTTATCATTTATCAGATAATTTGTTTAGTTTATGAACATATTGTACACAGTGAATTTTTTAACTTAACTAGTCATCTACCTGCATTTTTCAATATATCCAGCTAGCCATGTCTTGGTGCTGGGTAAAACATATTAAACACATGTGGCATCTTCTGACAGGTTTCACAACAGTATTTATTCTCTTTGGGTAAAGTAAAAAGAGTGATAGATGATATGAATAGGGTGTTTACCATGTGCCAAATTTATATTCTAAAACGGATATAGGTCTTTACTGTATTTGTGGATTGGAACATATATATAAATACATATGTATGCATAAACAGAAACCTTTTTATGCACACATATACATCCATTCATTTGATTCTCACAATTCAATTCCTATAAAGTACATTCTGTTTTATGATTACATTTACAGATGAAGAGCTGAGACCCAGAGCAGTGAACTTACTCGGGCCCAGTTCCAGTGCCAAGGAATAATTCAGGTGGTTATTTGAAGTCCAAACCACTGACATCATGTGTAAGTAAGATACCAGAAAAAAAAGCTTAAATTTGTCAACTCCACTCTAAATCACTCCACATAGGACTACAGGAAAGGAAATTTAAAAAAAATACCAAAACGCTTAGATAACAGTCACGTTTCCAGGCAGACAGTCTATATGCTAAGTGTGTAAACACGTTAAGATCAAAGGTATGTCAGTGTATGGTAGATGCTAAAGCTACATGTAGCACACTTAGCTCCAGGCTGCTATTCAGTCTTCAAGACATGAAACAAAGGTGATTATGGCAACCTGACAGGTTGATGAAAGTTGACTAATTGTGCAAGCATGGCTATGCACTAGTTACAGCTAATAGAGAAGTTCCAGAAACAAACTAGAACACAGGAAGAGGACAAAAGAGTAAAAGAATACTAGGTAGACACTCTCAGTTGCTGTCTATAAAGTACATTGATGGTCTCTGGGGTTACGGCAATTAGTAAAACAGTATGCTTTTTTTCACTGCACAATAGTTAAAGAAAGGTATTCTGATGTTCTCTGTGGCAATTAGAATATATAAAACCCACACAAGGGCAAACTGACCTCCTGGATTCATTCCCGGATTCAAAGAAAAACAATTGGAAATTCAGAACATGTGCAATTTTTGTGTTTCCTTGTTCCCTGATATGTTTGCTTACCCTCTCCATGTATTGGTATTTTGTAGCCAACTACATTTGTCAGCTAGTTTAGATTGATGGCTTCTGGTTGGTTTTTCTAAACTGGAGCAGAAGAGAAAGAAGCACAATGTTTCTCCCCCAAGGAATTATGTTTCAAAAGGCATTCACCAGGTGGGTGTTCTGCTGCTGCTGGGTCTCCAGCTTCCCTTAGTTAGCCCTCCTTCAGTGTCACAGAACACCTGCTACTCAAAAGCACTGTAGGACTCCATGCTGCCAGATGGCCCTGGCTGATGGATGGGGGTGGGGTATGAGACAACCTCCTCCCAGTTCCTCTCTCACTGAGAAGTAACCACTTCTTATAGTTGCTCCTTTTTTTTGTTTGTTTGTTTCCTCTTGTCCCCTGCTGGGATTCTCCACTTTTCCATCATTCATGGAACACTTTCCTGGTGTCAAAGTCCTGCTGTTGAAATATTGTGGTTTCTGGGTTTGAGTTGGATTTTGAAACAAACTAATTCAGATGAGTACTAATTTTATTCTTGTAACTAAGGAAGTGCAAAATGACCCTGAGATTTCACCTTACACCCATCAGAATGGCCAAGATGAAAAACTCAAGTGTTGTACATGCTGGAGAGGTTGTGGAGAAATGGGAACCCTCCTCCATTGCTGGTGGGGATATAAATTGGTACAACCACTTTGGAAGTCAATCTGGCGCTTACTCAGACAATTAAGAATAACATTTTCTCAAGACCCAGCTATACCACTGCTAGGTATACACCCAAAATTTGCTCAAGTACACATCAAGGACATTTGCTCAATCATGTTTGTAGCAGCTTTATTCGTAATAGCCAGAACCTGGAAACAACCCAGATGTCCATCAACGGAGGAATGGATACAGAAATTGTGTATTTTTACACAATGGAATACTACTCAGCAATCAAAAAGGAGGAAATCATGAAATTTGCAGGCAAATGGTGGGATCTAGAAAAGATCATTCTGAGTGAAGTATCCCAAAAGGAGAAAGACAAACATGGTATATACTCGCTTATATAGACCTATAAGATATGATAAACATAATGAAGTCTATAAACCTAAAGAAGATAAACAAGAAAGCAGACATGAGGTAAGATGATCAATCCTCACTTAGAAAGACAAATGAGATGTGCATTGGATGTATGACAGGAGTCTACCGCAGAAGGCATCTGAAAGACACTACCAAGTAGCGTTTCAAAACAGATACTAAGACTCATAACCAAACCTTTGGCAGAAGGGGAGTTAGTATGACAGGGAAAGGATAGGAGCCCCACAAGGACCAAATATATCTGGGCACAGGGTTTTTTTCTTAAACTGTTGCTCCAACCAAAGACCATGTATGGATATAACCTAGAACCTTTGCTAGGATGAAGCTCGTGGTAGCTCAATAACCCATAGTAAGGGGAACAGGGACTATCTCTGACAGGAACTCAATGGTAGGCTCTTTGACCTCCCCACCCCCCCAAGGGAGGAGCAGTCCTGCTAGGCCACAGAGGAGGACTTTGCAGCCAGCCCTGAAGATAGCTGATAAAACAGGGCCAGACGAAAGGCAAGGATGTCCTCCCCAATCCGTGGACTTGGAAAGGGGCAGGGAGAAGCTGAGGGAGGGAGGTTGGTATTGGGAGGGAATAAGGGAGCAGGATAAGCTGTGATACAGAGTTAATAAAATGTAACTAATAATAATAAAAAACAATAAAAAAGAAACACACGTGGCAAGAGTGATAAAGGAACAATGGGATTAACTGTGTAGAACTAGCTAAAGGAAAATGAGAAAAAAATTAAACCTCTGTATTACCTAATAAGTATTAGCTCACAGCTCTTCGTGCCCAAATCGCTTCAGCTTCCATGGTCTCTTAAAACTGTTAGCATTCAATTAGACCGGGAAAACTTAAGCATGAACTCACAAGCCCTTGAGACAAAGAGAGGCAGTCCCAAGTCTCAGAATATTCCCTTGTTTCACTTACTGAATATGATTTTGTCTTTTCTATCTTGATAGCTTGTTGTTGATTATTAATATTTATTATTGATTTATCTTTTAGTATATCCAAATCACCATACAGAGACTAAGATTTATTTAATTAACCTAGAGCACAATGCTGGGCAATTCTTACTCCATCCTAAACCGCCAAGCCCACATAGTTTCCTCCTATTTCCTTCCAGATTTCCCTCCTTATATTTGCTTTTAGTCATATCTTAGGTCCAGTGACAACACATGCTGGAGAGGTTGTGGAGAAAGGAGAACCCTTCTCCACTGCTGGTGGGAATGTAAACTTGTACAACCACTCTGGAAATCAATCTGGCGCTTTCTCAGACAACTAGGAATAGCTTCTGTAAAACAAAGGACACTGTCCTCAGAACAAAAGGACAGCCTACAGACTGGGAAAGGATCTTCACCAACCCTTTATCTGACAGAGGACTCATATCCAGTATATATATAAAGAGCTAAAGAAGCTGAAAAGCAACAAACCAAGCAATCCAATTAAAAATGGGGAACTGAGCTAAACAGAGAATTCTCGATAGAGGAATATCAAATGGCAGAGAAACACTTAAAGAAATGCTCAACCTCATTAGCCATTAGTGAAATGCAAATCAAAACGACCCTGAGATTTCACCTTACACCCATCAGAATGGCCAAGATGAAAAACTCAAGTGACAACACGTGCTGGAGAGGTTGTGGAGAAAGGAGAACCCTTCTCCACTGCTGGTGGGAATGTAAACTTGTACAACCACTCTGGAAATCAATCTGGCGCTTTCTCAGACAACTAGAAATAGCGCTTCCCCAAGATCCAGCCATACCACTCCTAGGCATATATCCAAAAGAGGCTCAAGTACACAAAAAACAGCACCAACTTTTAAGGCAGGAACCTGGAGACAGAAACTGAAACAGGTTATGAAAGACTACCACTTACTGGCTTGCTCCCCATTGCCTGCTTTCTTATAAAACCCAGGACAATCTACCCAGGGGTATCACCACCCAGAGTAATTTGGGCCCTCATTCATCAACCACTAATCAAAAAAAAAAAAAAAAAAAACAAAAAAAAAAACTGTCCTACAGACATGTCATAGGCCAATCTGATGAAGGCAATTTCTCAGTTGAGATTCCTTCTCCCCAGATTTCTCTAGTTTCTATCAAGTTGACAAAACCTAACCATTAAAAGTGACTGATCTGAATTAGTTTTTTTTTCAGTTTATTTACATCCCAAGAGTGCCTCCTGCCTCTTCTCCTCCCAGTCGTCTTCCCCCACCTTCCCCCTTCCTCTCTCTTTGCTCCAAGAAAAGGGGACCCTCTTGCCCCATATCAACCTCCCCCAGCACATCAAGTCACGTCAGGACTGAACATATCCTCATCCCCTGAGTCCAGTCAAGACAGTACTGTCAAGGGGAAGTGATCCAAAAGCAAGCAATAGAGCCTATTTTAGAAACAGCCCCACCTACACTCGCCAGGTGACCCATATGAAGACCAAGCAATCTAACAGCCACATATGTGCAGGACTAGTGGAAGGAGGGGAACAACAACCCACCAACAAAACCTGTGATCCAAAAATGACCC